AAGCCATTCTCAGGGAAAGTGGTAGGAGAAAGAAAGTGGGACAAATGCCAAGAAAAAAAAATCATGTCTAGAGGGAAAGTGGTCAATTGCATCAAATACAAGAGGGAGTGGGTAACAGCTCTGGTTGAAGCCATTCTTGACCACAGTTAATTATCAGAAGGATGAGATTAGGTAGAAGGAAGTAGGAGGGGTTGGGGCCATTTTCTGGAAAATCCTGTCAAGCCTCCGGGATTCTCTACAGGTTCCAGCAAGTGACTTAAGGCCCAGAAGCAAAACAGGTGGTGGGGTTGGGGCCATCCATCTCTGATAATCAAGAATCCCTAGGGATAAAGGGATTTGTGCTGTTATTGTTGGTTGTCGGCGAATCAATTCCAATGTGACCCATGTATGCAGTTAGGATGGCTTCATAGGGTTTTCAAGGCCATGACCTTTTGTAAGCAGATCACCAGGACTGTCTTCTGAGACGCCCTGGAAGGAAGGGTTCCAAACTGCCAACCTTTCAGCTAGTGATTAAGCTTTTAACCGTTTCAGTCCTTGGCCTCTTGGAAAACAGTCTCAATAGTGGTTGCACAGTACCAACAGAAACTGTTGAGATAGTGTATGTTTTATGACATGTATTTTCATCACAATAAAATGATTTAAAAACTAGGGAACTAGGGATGAAGGGGCCTTGGCCTCTGAGGCTTGCGTGTGACAGTTCAAATACCCACTGCCTACTTTGAAGCATTAGGTAAATCTGCTGCACAAGACCTCTTCAAAGTGTTGAAGAGCAAAGACGTCAGCTTGAGGACTAAGATGCGTCTGATCCAAGCCATGGTATTTTCAATAACCTCATATGCATGCGAAAGCTGGACTGTGAATAAGGAAGATGGTAGAAGAATTGATGCATTTGAGTTACGGTGTTGGAGGAGAATATTGAAAGTACCATGGGCTGCCAAAAGAACCAACAGATCTGTGTTGGAAGAAGTGCAGCTGGAGTGCTCTTTGGAGGCCAGGATGGCCAAACTTTGTCACTCATACTTCAGACATGATGCTTGGAGGATATCATGTTTGCTAAGGGTCAGAGAAAATGAGAAAGACCCGCAGCAAGATAGATTGGCAAAGTGGCAGCATCAATGGGCTCAAGCATGGCAATAATAGTGAGGTTGGCCCACGACCAGACAGTGTTTTCGTTCTGTTGTACATAGGGTCGCTATGGCACCTAACAACAATTTTGAAACCTGGGAAAGTCATTTAACCTCACCAGCCTGTTTCCTCAACATAAAACATGGATAAACCACCGGTAATAGTGATGTGTTTGAGTTATGGTGTTGGAGAATATTAAAAGTACCATGGACTGCCAAAAGAACAAACCAATCCTTGTTGGAAGTATAGCCAGGATGCTCTTTGGAAGCCAGGATGGCCAGACTTCTCATACTTGGGGCATACTGTCAGAGGGACCAGTTCCTGGAGGTTAGGAGAAAAAGAGGAAGACCCCCAGCGAGATGGATTGGCACAGTGGCCAGCTCAAACGTAGGAGCGACTGTAAAGTTGGCGCAGGACCAGACAGTGTTTCATTCTGTTGTGCATAGGGTTACTGCGAGTCCGTACCGACTCGATGACACCTCGCAACAATAACATCTACCTCGCTGGATTGGTGTGGAAGTTGAATATAGAGTTAGGGCCAGTGCTAGGCACAGAGCAATGCTCATCTACATTAACTATAGTTATCACTATCTCTCACGCCCTTAAGAGACACGGCCACGAAAACTTGCGCCTCTGGTAGTTTCAAGGAGCGGGATAATCCCTGCGAGGGAAACTACCATGAATAGAAACTGCTCATTGGCAGGCCCACTGAAGTGGCACCTAGGAAATGTCCTTCCCGTCGTACACAGGCTGTTTCTGCTCCCAGCACAGCGTGCATCTGAGAGCTGACTGGCGCAGAGATCTAGAGGCAAAGAATGGACAGCCTCGGTTAGGTCAATGAGGTCCAAAGTCTGGCTTAGCGCGCTTCAGGGCGCAGCTTGTAGAAGTGAGGCCACTTCTGAGATCTGGAGGCTGCGAGATCTGAGATCTCAGCGGCTTCTTTCCGATTGCCATAAATGCGGATTTCCTACTTTCCCCGAAACGGCGTCGCCCCCGCGAACGTTCTTTCCCGCGCTCGTCCAGGCGTCTACAGAGGCTGCGTAGGTCATCAGGGAGGGAGGTGGGGTCCGGAACGCTCTTGAGCGTGCGCCCTCTGCTGGCGACTAACGGTCTCTTCGGGGCGCATGCGCAGGCATCACACGCACACGCCCACGGGCTGCTGCCGCGCGGGCCGTTGGCTTTGCTTCCCGCCCTCCCCGTCCCATAAGGAGGTGAGTCGGTACCGCCCGAGACTCGGGAAGAAGAGAGGCCAGGGATACCACGCCCCCTCCCCGTTCCTCATTTGAAGCCCCTCAACTCCGCGCCGCCAGCCAATCGCAGCCCGCCCTGTCCCAAGCACAGGCCAATGGACAGCAAGCTCGTGCCGCTTCCGGCTTCGCGCCTCGCTTTCGCTTTCCTTGGTCTCTGAGCGCTGGGCGGGGCGTGGGGACGGGCGTCCATTGAGTGACGCGCGGCGGGCCCGCAGCCAATGGGGGGCGGGCTCGGCGCTGATGGACGGGGCGGGCGTCCAGTGGCGAGGCGCTGGCTGCACTTCCCGTCGGGGAGAGAGTGTAATATGGCGAAGACCTACGATTACCTGTTTAAGCTGCTGTTGATCGGGGACTCGGGGGTGGGGAAGACCTGTGTCCTGTTCCGCTTCTCCGAGGACGCTTTCAACTCCACCTTCATCTCCACTATAGGTAACGTGGCCGGGGGGCGGCCGAAGGGAGGGAGGCTTGGGCCAGGCGCTCCCCTGAGGGGCCGGGACTAAGGGAGTGACCCGGACAGAAGGACCAAGAGGTTCTCAGAGGGTCGAGGGGCCCATAAGGGTGACAGGCAGCCATCTCCATCGCTATTCGGGGTTCCTGGGTCGTGGCTGTGGAGGGGGACCAATGGCCCATTTTGCAGATGGGAACACTGAGGCCCCGACTCTCAGCCGGTTCAAAGGCCTCAGCATACACCCTGAGCTGGGGTCTTGCGCCCGTCATAGCGTTCTGTCCTTGCAGCAGCCCTCGAAATGGTTCTGTGGGCTTTCTCATCTTAAGTGGAAATGAGGCATGAGAAGTTAGATGTAGGGAAAGAATCGTGTCAACTGACTTTGAGCATTTACTTGGCGCCACGCGCTTTGTACACATTTTCACCCTTCCGGCTGCCCTCTGATTAGTTATAGTTGAGGTCCCTGTCTCTCCCGTGAGGAATTTGAGGATCAAGGGAGGGCAGGCCTTGCCCAAGGTCACGTGACGGGTGTGCAGGTGGTGAAGAGGGGATCTGGATTGAGGTGTTGCCCACTGTCACCTGCAGGACAGACCCAGGGTCCCAGATCACCCCTGTCCAGCTCCTAACCGTGGAGAGTTCAGGGATTGACCCGACTCCTGGGGTGACCTTACTTCTAGAAGAATTAAGACAGGGAATCAGAGGCGGTTCTTGCCCTTCCTTCCCCTCGAGAGTAATGACCATGATCAGTGACAGCTGTCTGCCCTGGGGCCTGTCATTTCCTACGAAATGCCAGATAAAAGCTGCTAAGTGAAATCGAAATCAGCCACTGCCACAGACAACCCTGACTTCCCTATCATGAGGCCCAGGATCTAGGCTGTCACTTTGTAGAACAACCTTTCCTGCAAAAGCAGCCCACATGGTGGTTGTACCAGATGGGCCTATTGCATCTCGGTTCTGACATCCACTAAAGTGGAGCTGACTTTCTCTGCATGCCACAATAGAAGATTCAATAAGGGGAAACACAGATCAAATGGAGTCGCCTTGCTTAGGAGCAGGGAAGTGAGGGAAAGTTGCTATAGCTAGGTTATTAGCTGCCGGCAGGCCGGCCCCCAACTCATGGTGACCCCATGTACACCAGAGTGACTCATTCTCATGATCCATTGCATCCAAACCCTTGTGAGTTTTCATTGGTTGACTTTCAGCGGATGGTCTCTCCAGGCCTTTCTTCCTAGTCTTAGTCTAGAAGCTCCGCTGAAACCTGTTCATCATTATAGCAACATACAAACCTCTACTGAGAGATGAGTGTTGGCTATGCTTGAGGTGCATCTGTCAGGAATCAAACCTAGGTTTCCCATATACCATCAAACCACCACTGCGCCATGCCAAACAGCTTATTCTAAATGGAGAAAACAGGGAATGATCTTTGCTTGCCACCTCCCACCCCTGCATGTAGCTTCAACCAGATCACTTCACCTCCAGGGCCTCCCACCCAGAACCTGCATTGTATAAAACCATCAAGCACTGGGTATAAGTGAGAGAAAATTGGACTGGAAGCCATCAGACCTGATTGATGTCCCATGGCTGTTTGCCCTTGAACAAGCCACATCACCTCTCTGAGCCCTTTCTGCTTATAATGGGTAATGAATGCCCTCTTCTTGATCTACTGGTCAAGGACCCATGATGACTAAGGTGTTGTTGATTTCAGTGACCACCTAGAGGAAGTAGAATGGCTCCTGCAAAGATAACACCCCACCCCACCCCAAGGTCAAACCCAATGAGGACCCTGGCCTCCCCACCCTCAGCCAGGAAGTGACCTTAACTCCTAACAGACTAACTTGATTCCACTCTAGCCCTCAGTTTGCAGCCTCAGAAACTTTCTCTCGTCGTGAGTACTGGTGAGCGCTAATCTGGAATTGGCTTTTTTAATTCTTGACCAGGCAGTCCCTGTCACGCACTTGAGGGCTCCAAGGAGGCTGGCCTTCTCCATTCCAGCCAAGGAGATGTTTCCCATTGGGAGGAGCACACTTGCCAGGGGCTACACAGGAAAGAGGTGCCCGAGCTGTCTACTCATTGCATCTGCTGCCTGCTGCAGCCCTCACTTTTGTCTCCTCGTTAGCTGACATAACAACAAGGCATCGCCAACTCTGGTAGCCCATGTATGCAGGGTAGAACTCCACTGGGTTGTCAAGACTCACTTTTCAGAAGTAGATCATCAGACATGTCTTCCGAGGTACCTCTGGGTGGGTTCAAACGACCAGCCTTTCAGTCGTCGTCAAGCCACCCCGATCACCCTCTAGGAAAGTTTAATCCAACATGACCTTAAGTTATGGCCTCATAATCCTTAGGTCTCATAAAGTTTATACTTCCTAATTAAACAGGGTGTGTTCATAAAATCCAGGAGTATGTGGGACAGTCTCAGGCTTGGTTCCACCAATCGAGCAAGGCTCCTTGCTTTCGTGGACCCCGTCTGTCTGCACTAGGAGATGAAGGAAGTTTGGGGTAGGGTCGGCGTGGGCTGCTAAACCCCAAAATGCAGCTGACTGCCGAGGCCATGCTGTGTTGGCACCACCTGCTCCTCTGGGTTTTCTTTATAGGTCAAAGATTGAGTGCCTGTTCATTTTCTGCCCAGGTGACATTTTGCCAAGGCCTATCTCCTCCCATACACTCCATCGATCGTTTGTGATGTGAACTTGGCCCTGTGACTCCCAAGTTGCTTCTTAGCTGGTTGGCTCGGCCTCCACCTCCTCCTTGGGGGCTGATCACTTTGCCATAGAGGTGGATGGAGGCTGTAAAAGTGCTTTCTACACTGACAGCATCACATAGACCCTGTTACTTGTCGTTCTTTGATCGTGCCCCGTTAACGAGGCCTTCTGTGCACTAGACATCTGCCCTAGTGCAGGACTGCAGGGAAGAAGTGATGGATTGTGGGAGGCAGAAACATCATGAGGCTATAGTCCCAGTGTATGTGCAGGACTGAGCAGGTGCCTTCCAACACACACCCCCAAAACCCAAGCCCATTGCCGAGTCAGTTCGGACATACGGCGACCACTTGCTGCAGAGCAGAGCTAGTCCACGGGGTTTGGGGTTGTAATCCTTACAGAAGCAGAGCACCAGCCCTTTCTTCTGGAGCACCATTGGGTGGGTTCAGACTGCCAGGCTTTAAGGCAGCAGCTTAGCACAAACCGTCTGCACCACCCAGAGACAGCCTTCTGCCCCTGCAACACTGCAGCAATGAGGACATGTCAGACCTGCCCTCAAGGAGGATGGACCTGTGGGGACCGTTGGGGTGCAGGCTCATCTTCCCATTTGGTCCCTAGGACCATCTCTGAAAAAGACAAAGACAGGATGACAGCCCCAGTGTGGGGCTCTAGAGGGCCAAGGAAGGCTTTGTTATTCTCCAGGAAGTTTAGGACAGTCTGGGAGCAGTGGTTGGACTTGGCCATTTCCATACCACAAGCCATGAGTGTCAGCACGCCCCACCTGGGCTCTTGGAGCAACCAGATACCCAGTGTCAGGGAGTTACAAGTATTGGGAGGAGCAAAAGCAGGGTTACCATAGCCATTGAGTAGATTCCCACTCCTAGGGCCCCCTGTGTTACAGGGCAGAACTACTCCTTAGCTCTCTGTCCTTTCTGATGCAAATCGCCAGGCCTTTTTTCACAAGGCCTCTGGGCAAGTTCAAACTGCCAACCTTTAGCAGTCAGACACACTATTTGTGCCACCCAGGGCGCTCAAAAACTGGCTATGGGTTAAAGAGTAAAGCTGATGGAGGCAGGCTCCCCATACCTGCAGACCCCAGGTGAAGGGGAAGGATGGAGCCAGTGCAGGAGCAGACTTGGAATATTCAGGAAAGAGGGGAGTGGGGGAAGTAGGAGGTGCTGAGCTCAGGGAACTCACCAGCATTTGATTCTTGGGGTGCAGGGAATCACTGAAAGGTAATCTGTTGTTGGTTTCCTTTTTTTCTGCAATTTTACTGAGATCTAATTCACATACTGTATAATTTACTATTTAAAACTTCAGTTGCTTTTAATCCATTCATCATGTGGTACAACCACCAGCTCTGTCTAGTTCCAGAACATTCTCATCACCCCAAAAGGAAGACCTGTACCCATTAGCTCACCTGTTCCCATCACTCCCCTAGCCCCAGGCAAGCAAGAATCTACTGTGTGTCTCTCTGAATTTTGGCTCACCTTGGGTGTGTGCTGTAAGTGGGTGACCCCACTGGGTGGCTTTTTGTGTCTGGCTTCTCCCAACTGAGAAACGTGTTTTCAGGGTTCATCTGTGCCGTTGCATGTGTCAGTGCACCCATCCCTTCATCCCGCAGTGGGCACACTGGAAGGTTTGAAGGGGAGGTTAGGTTTGTGTCTGCTCTTTGGTTGTAAAGTTCTTGGCGTGGACTAGAGAGTACCTAAGAGGACCGTGGAGGCTAAGCTGACTGAAGCAGGCTTGCCCTGGTACCCGAGGCACAAGAAGGGCTGGGACAAGCAGGCTTCTCAGGAGCTGAGGTCTGAGTAGGGCCTTGGAGGCGAAATCTGCCTGCTAATAGGCATGGGCAGTGCAGAGAAGGCACCGCATGTTCAAGCAGAGGCTGGAGGCAGGGCCTGAGTGCCTCCGAGTGGGGGAACAAGCGGGGTGAGATGGGGGCCCAGGCTTGCACAGGGCTTGCACACAGGGCTCTTGCCGAAGCCTAGGGCTAGGAGCTGACCTCAGAAAGCAGCCCTCCCACTTGCAGCTTTCCTCTGGGCAGTGCCCAATAGCTCTCTGAGCCTCAGGGTTCTCTCTTCTGAGACTCCAGGCGCCTGCAGACCTGGGCGGATTCCTAGGTCTGTAGGTCCAGCACCTGGGCGGTACCACAGGCGAGTGTGCCAGGGATGGTTACCTGCCCCGATCGGCTGCGGCGTCTCTGACACCACTGGGAAACGGCTGACAGTGAGTGATGTGCCATTTTCCTTTTCTTTCAGGAATTGACTTTAAAATTAGAACCATAGAACTCGATGGCAAGAGAATCAAACTGCAGATCTGGTAAGATCAGTTGTTTGTTGTCAGCCCCTCCCTTTGCCTGGTGAGCACTTTACACTAGAAGCTCCTAGTGATCCCCACTAGTGATCCCCACTCCAGTCCCTGTGGCCTTGGTCTTCAGAAGCTCCTGGAATCTCACACCCAGCCCAGAGAGCTGAGCTGTGTTCAGCTGGCCTCGCTGGCCTGTGGGGCCTAGATTCTGGGCTGGCACCATCTGAGGACATGACTGGCCAACTAGCTCAGTGTTCTGTCCTGAATAGAGCTGGTCTGCTCCCACTGACCCTTAGCTCACATGCAAGCCCAGGTGCTCCCCAAGGCTGCAGGGCAGGGCAGCGCCCTGTCTTTACTTGTTGACATTGAAGCTGTAATAAAAGCGCAGCAAGTGGGTGGTTTTAAGGAGCAGTTTACTTCCTCAGTGTTATGGAGGCTGCCAGTGTGGATTCAGGGCACTGGCTCAGGCTCCAGGGAGGCTCTGTGTTTGGCTCCCTCAGCTTCTTCATCCCTCTGTGTATGTCATTGTGCCTCCACTCCACTGATAGGACACTACTCAGAGTGGTGAGGGTTAAGACCCACCCTACACTGCTAAGGACTCCTATAGGCTCAGTACTAGACTATGAACCCCAAGTCAAGGTGGCTTCACACCCACTAGCTGCTCCTCGGGAACCCTATACAGGGTCGCTGTGAGTCAGAACTGACTTGATGGCACTTGACAACAACATTGTTAAGACGTCATTAACAGAAGAACACCAGTTTCTTTAAGTAGACTCCTCCTGGAGCTCTCTGGGTCAGTGTAGTGGCGCTTGTTAGGGGTTCAGTGGCTGATTTTCTCAGATCACCTGACAGACCTCTCTTCCAAGGCATCTCAGGTTAGGCTTGCATCGCCAGCGTTGTGGTTAGCATTTTCACCGCACACGGTCCTATTAACACAGGTTAGGACTTCCACACACATTTTTTGTGGGGGCCCCAACTCCACCCATCACAGACCTTAGCCTAGGAGCTCCTGTGCAGCCCCAGTGGCTTGCTGAGAGAGGTTTCACACTGCATCCTCTTCTTTCCTGGGGAAGCTCAGCTCTCACTTCATAGCAGACCAGCTGAAATCCCAGAAGTGAAATTCAGTTGAGGCCAGGCTGGTGCTAAGACCTGTTTCCATTCCTCAGAGCCTGGGGCCCTAATCAGCAGGGGAAGGTGTGAGTCTCAGAGTCCCCTTTCCTGGCTCTGGTCTACCTCCCGCTGTCCTGGGAGATGGATTCCGATGGTGCATCCCCATGCCTGTGCCCCACACAAAGCACCACGACAAGGGGAAGTGACATCAGGAGTAGAGCATAGTTCCTGCATGCCAGGTGGGCACCAGGCCAGGGAGTGGGGAGCCCAAGAGTCTGAAACTGACCTCAGACCCTGGATGAGGTGTAACACCTTGTCCATCTGTGGGCCTGGGCCTTTCGTCAGTGTCTCACAGTATGGACCTTAGCAGCTGAAGCAGGGTTTCTCTACTTTCCAGCACATTGGCTCTCCTTTGTGGCCAACTTCAAAGGGACATTGTCCAGGCCAAGGAGTTTCCCTTTCCTCCCCTCCTAGTTCCAGCTTGTCTTCATTAGCTAGTGCTGCCATCACAAAAATAACAAGCAGACAGGTCGGAGACTAGAAGTCTGAATTCCGGGTGCCGCTTCTAGGGGCAGACTCTCTGTCCTCTCTGGAGGAAGGTCCTTGTCTGAGCTGCTGCTTCTGGGCCCTCTTCTCGTACGTTGGTATCTCTCTTCCCCCATCTCTGCTGCTTTTGTTGCTCGTTAAATCTCCTTTAGATCTCAAACGAGATTTGCTCAAGGTCAGTCTCTTTCACATCCCAAAGACAACCTATTCCCAAATGGGGTGATCGCCACAGGCATCGAGGTTAGAACTTACCACACATGGTCTGGGGGACACAATTCAATCCATATCATCATCGAGCCTCGTGGGGTTGGTGGTGTTCATAAGGCTTGACAAAGTGGATCTTTGTAGCTCCTGACATTGCCTGTTAGGGTGACCCCTTAGACAAGACCCTCCTGTGTAGGTTGGGCATAGGGGGTTCTCCAGGTGGGAGGAGACCAAGACATGGGCTCTAGCTCTGGCTCTCCCACTGCTCAGTTACTCAGTGAGTCAGCTTTCAATAAAGCACTGCATACCTCGAATGCCTGGACCCAGACAAGGCCTAGTCCTGTTTCACCTTATGCGACAAATGCACCTGCCCCTGCTGTGCAGGTAGGGAAGGGCCTTCCCCTCACCTGAATCAAGGTGCTGTGTGGGAATGCTGTGCTCCAAGGCACCAGCTCCTAGCTTGGCTGGTCACTGACTCCACAAGGTGTCTCATCCTGTGCCATGTGGCCACACTCCGGTTATATGAAAACGCCTGTCCACATCCATGGCTGATGACAGCATTAAGTTAAGCATTCATGTGAAGTGATTCTATCAGATAAACATGTGACGGTGGATTATGTGGCAAATCAGCCATGGCTCTGCCTGTGAAATAAGACACTACAGACTAGGGTTTCGAGGTGTTTGTTTGAGATTCTGCGAACCAATTCACAGAAGAGAGCATAAACCAGAAGCATGTGGACTATACATCTGCAAACAAAATTTGGACTGATACTTGAAGGAAGGTAATAGTTTCTTTTTAAAAAATTGTTACTGGTGACAAGACATGGATTCCTCACTACGAGCCATAGCGTAAATGATAGACTATGAAATGGAAACATCCTCAGTTGCTGACCAAAAAAAGTTCAAAAGTCGACCATCAACTGGAAAACTGATGGCTACAGTTTTCTGGGATTCTCAAAGGTCAGTATTGAACGCTCTGGAAAAAGGTTCCATCAGCACTGAAGGGCTGAAGCCTGAACTTCTCAGAGGACTGCTGTCCAAAGGCCTTGTGATCTTGCATTACAGTGCACAGCCGCACACCTCTGCCCACACTGCTGACACTGCAAAGACATTATTTTGAGGTGTTAAAGCATCCTCCCTGTAGTCCTGATCTTGCTCCATTGGACTTTCACCTGTTTGGTCCCCTGAAAGCATCCCTTTGGGGATGAAGATTCACCTCTGACAAAGAAGTGAAGACAGCGGTGCATTTGTGGCTCACAGCTCAGCTTAAAACCTTTTTTAATAAGGGAATATGAAAGCTTGTTGACAGATGGACAACATATATTGAAAAGGAGATTTTGTCAAAAAAAATGATGCATTTGTGTTTTCTAGAAGTTGATTAAAGTCTACAGCCAGAGTGCGGGTAATTTTTGAGTGATCCTCCTAAGATCTATCTAGATGTCCCGTCAAAATCCCTGGTGGCACACCAGGGTGAGCATTCGGCTGCTAACCAGAAGGTGGGAGAAAGATGAGGCAGTTTGCTTCCAAAAAGATTTATGGGCTTGGAAACCCTATGGGGCAGTTTTATTCTGTCCTTTAAGGGCACTGTGAGGTGGAATTGACTCAATAGTAGTGGCGCAATGGTTTTTGTTTTTGTTTTTCTGTTTTTTGAGTGTCCTGGGGCTGCCCTAAATGACCCCAGACAGAAGGTGAAAGGAGCATTCATTCATTCATTCATTCATTCTTTCACAGTCTGGAGACCAAGTCAGCAGGGCCCTGCTCCCTCCAGAGCTCCAGGGGAGAATCCTTTCTCATTGCGTCCAGTCTCTGGTGACTCCCAGCATCCCTGGACTGGTAGCTGTCTTCTCACTGTCTTCTCTTCTGTGTGTCTCTGTGTCTTTTTCTCATCTACTGTGCTCACCCGTCTTTAGATTCAGGGCCCAGCAGCATTCTGGATGACCATCTGCAGAGACCCTGTCACCAGAGTGGCATTGCCAGGTACTAGGATTAGGACTTAAACACTGGGTCTTGGGGAGAAGAAGTTCAACGTACAACAGTAGCACAATAACCAACTTTGGCTCCTCTGTGATCCCGAAACTCTGGGAAGGAGTCCCAGGCAGCCATGGGAAGAGTGCACGTGAGCCAGAGTTTGAGTGGGGGCCTTGCCACAGCCCCAGCTGGGTGACATGGCACATCCTTAACCTTTACTTCAAATCAAGTTCATCGGGGGCCTGCCTCTAGCAGGAGGACACATGTCAGGGAAAGGATTCGCATTCTTACTCTAATGTCCCTTTTCCATTTAGGGACACAGCTGGCCAGGAGCGATTCCGGACCATCACCACAGCCTACTACCGGGGCGCAATGGTATGTATGGGGTGTTTGAGTCAGAATCGATGGCCCTGCCTTCCAGGGACGCCTTGTTGTTTCTGGGGAGTGTGCTTGTCCACAAACCCTTCTTAACAAGACAGTTGTTTGTGAACATCCCACCTCCGGATATGCCCCCTGACCACAGGTGTAGGTGAAATGGAAACAGTCTATAGGAATAGTGGGTGGGGCCTGGAAGGCCAGTTCTTCCAGGTGAGGTGGGTGGGATCTGAGGCAGCTGGCATGCCCCAACACTTGGGAGCTTTTTATGGAATTCTCCACCAGCACCTTGAGCTCCTCCAGGAGCCAGCTTGCCCAGGGTGGTTGGCATTCGGCTGGTTGCCCAGGCCTGGGGCGTGACACCATTGTAGGAAGACGCATTCGCTCACCTCTCAGGTATTTGTTGGGCCCTTTTCTCTGGGTCAGACCTGGACTCGACCAGTGGGCAGCAAGAAATAAGATGGGCTACAGGCCCCAACAGATTGGAAACATGAGACACCCCATATTTAGGTTAGTTGTCTGCACAGGGGCCTTGAAAGGATCAGTGCTGTGCCCTGGGTGCCCAGGGAGTAAAGGATGGATGAGGCACAGCGCTCGGTGCCCAGAGCCTGTAGGGGGAACTTGGCTGGCTGGGGCTGAGTGGAGGGCATGGTGACTCTGAGTACAGCCCAGGAAGGGCCTCATTGCCCTGCCTGGTCACCTCAGGCCTGTGTGGCACATGGCACAAAGTGGAGTCGCTGAGCAGGGTAGTTCAGGGCCGTGGAGGGAGCAGATTTTCCAGGGGCTACAAGGGCCACGTGCTGGCAGGACCCCCGGGCTCTCGGTCTCTCAGGCCTAGTTACTCAGGAACATTTCTCTCCTGCCTGCATAGGGCATCATGCTGGTCTACGACATCACCAGCGAGAAGTCTTTTGATAACATCCGAAACTGGATCCGGAACATCGAGGAGGTGAGGCTGGCCGGCAAGCATTGGAATCTTCCACAGGTCCTGTGCTGAGCCCTCATACCAAAGCTTCAGGCTCACAGAGGAGACACAGCTAGGAGCTAGGGTCTGCCCCAAGGCCACATAACCAGCCCTGTCCCATCTGGGCAGTGGTTTTGAGTCTGGGCCTGCCCTGTCACTCTTGAGAGCCCACATCCCCACCAGGGCCGTTGGGTTTGACAGTCTCCCAGTAAGGAGGGAAAGGCTGAACAAGCTTGAGGGCACTGTGAGCATTTGGTACTTTTAGAGAGGGAAGGTTCTAGAACTATCCTAACTGGCACATCAGCTTGCACTTTGAGCTGCAGCGAGGCAGGTGTGAATGCGTCCAACAACATCTGGTTGCATCCCTGGAGAGGAGACCTAGAACTGTGGGTAGTCCCAGTCCTACACCCCAAGATTATGTGCTAGTGACTTCAGATGGAGGCAGCCAGGGAATGTCACCCACCCAGGAAGCCATGAGAAAGGTCCCATCACTGCCACCTGGGACTTGTCCACCACTCAGCTTCATGTGTGGACACTGTGGAGCCAGCAGGCATCTCAGGAAGTGGAGTGAGGAGTGCCCACCACACTGGTTTTCATGTGGCGAACAGGAAGTCAGGCAGGAGCAGACTAGACTGTGGCTGTCCCAGCAGGCCCAGAGGGTTTCGTAGGAGCGGGTGGGTCTACTGGTGAGAGGTAGTGCTGGTGTGAACTGCTTCCCTGCCCATCTACCCCCCTACACCCTAGCACGCCTCTGCCGATGTCGAAAAGATGATCCTCGGAAACAAGTGTGACGTCAATGACAAGAGACAAGTCTCCAAAGAACGAGGAGAGAAGGTGGGGCTGGCTGCCGGGCAGGGAATCACAGCAGGTCCTACTCAGGGGGCCCCTGGCCAGGTTTGGAAGAGGACCTGTCACCCTTGTTCCTAGGCTGTAGGCCAGTTGGTCAGCTACCTGCACACATGCTGAGGGTCAGGTGCTGGTACTCTTCCTGCACACCACACGGGTCCCCTGGGCCCCTCAGCAGCCCCGCCTTGCCTCAGCTTCCATGTTCCCATGAGGACTGCATTGCTGTGGGCATTGTCTACACTCGAGGACAAGGGGTTCATGTGTGTGCATGTTTTATCTCCCACACCCACAGCTAGCCCTGGACTACGGGATCAAGTTCATGGAGACCAGTGCCAAGGCCAACATCAATGTGGAGAATGTGAGTCCCGCTGTCTGCCCTCCCCGGCCCCCAGAGCCAGCCTTAGACGCTGGGCTGCCAGGCAGTCCTGTGGGAATCACTCCTGTGTCTTAACAGCAGGCACTCATCCTGGGCTGGGGGCTTGGGCAGCCTTGGGTAGCTGTGGATTTATAGACTGCCATGGATTTATAGACTGCCGTGGATATATAGACCGGGACATTCCAGCTTGGAGAGGCCCAATTAGCTAGGTGGCCAGGTCCAACTTAGATACTTGTGATAAACCCCCATGGGGCCATAGATAGGCTCACAGTCCCAACAGTGACTTAGGGCCGGCCATTCCCCTCTCCTTACAGCTGGCACAGCCCACCTTGCACCATTCCCACCCCAGCCTTTCATGTGTTCTCGTCTCTCCTCCCCTCTACCCATGAGGTCCCAGCCCAAATGCCCCCCTAAGCCCTCAGGCCCCACAACCTGAAGCATCATCCCCAGTACCCTGAACCATGGCAGAACATTCCACATCCTATGGTCCTTTGTTGAGACTGTGCCTCCTACCAGTCAGGAGTTCCATACACAGTTCCTCTGTTTATCCGTCTCCTAGGCAGGTCGGTTCACAAGCAGGGTTAACAGACACTTAGCAGAGAGTGAAGGAGAGGAGGCTCAGGACCTCCCCCATCTGGACCTCCAGAAGGGGCCAGAGTGGACAGACAGAATGGGGGCTTTAAGGCACAGGGCTGGGTCCTCCTTCCATGTCAGTGTGGACGTGTGGTCTGTGAAACTGTTTCTTGCCTGGTCAGTTGGATGACTGTAGATCACAGGGTTTGGGGCTTAGTGGAGATACCCCAGAACACCAGCTGCCTTCAGGTTGACCCTGACCTGTACCACTGTCATGTGACCCAGTAGAACTGCACTCCGTAGAGTTTCGGTGACTGCTGTGGTGGAAGTCGGTCACAGGCTTTTCGTCCAGGGCGACTCTGGGAGGACTCACCCTCCAGCCCCTCAGGTAGCAGCCGAGCATGTTTGCCATTGGTACCACCCGGGGCCTAACACCCTGCTTCCTCCACAGGCCTTCTTTACTCTCGCCAGAGACATCAAAGCAAAAATGGACAAAAAACTGGTGAGTATGTGCTCTCCAGACTCACGCTGGCCTGCGTCCTGCTCAGTTCTGCATCCTCAGCCTAGGGCGAGATGCCTCCCATGAGCCTAGGGCCTAGCCAGGCCATGAGGATATACAGGGCAGGGGTGGAGTTCACAGGTATGGTCTGCGTAGGTGTGATCTGGGTAGTCGTCCACGCCCAGGCAGGTGCTTAGGAAAAGACACAGCTGTGACCATGTGAGAGGAAGGAGCAAGACTGCCTGGTCCCCCAGACGGCTGGGCCCAGGGTGCACATGTAACCCACACCCCTGGTGTCTGACAGCTGTCACATTGTACTCTGGGTGGGTCCAGCAGAATCTTTGGTATTTATCCTTTTTTTTTCTGAAATATTCCTGGATTTTTTAATTTAAAAAAATTTTTTTATTTAATGTTTTATTGTGAATTACATGATAGTTTACTTGGGAGAGCATTAGCTTCACATTGATCCCATCATGTATCGTTTCTTTGCCATGGTTACAATCCCCTCCACGCATTATCCACCAACCAAAGGGTATGCTCTGCAAGCCTGCCCCCCGGTCATCCACACACAGCCCCTCTTCCTCTCCGGGTCTAAAGTCCCCAGTCACTCCATCTCCCCATGTCGTTGTCTCTGCCTCCATCCCTGGCATCACTGCTTCTCTGGGTAGGGTTCTGTTCTCCACTCTTCTCCTTTGATGGTCCCAGGAACCTCCGCTCCTAGACTGCAAGATTAATCACTCCCTTCCCTTTGCCACAAAACGTCAACCTTTACTTTTCCAGCCCTTACAATCACTCCTGATAACAATTATTTGCTATTGTATTGCAAGAAACCTATCCGCATCTCCTTTCATCAGCCCTGACTAGACAGAATGGATACTACTCAGTGGAGATTCTACCTTGCTCCACACCCTCTGGATCTAGGTTTTTATCTATTTTTGTGGTCTTCTGCTCCTGCTTGTATCATATCTGTGATACCATTGTTAAAAACTGAGCCTCTAAGCCTGACCCCAGTGTTTTCTCATTCTCCATCTCATGGTCCATTTTGAGTGAATTCTCATGTGTTGTGAGGTAGGGGTCCAGCTTCATTCTTTGGCATGTGGAGACCCAGCTGTCCCAGCGGACTTAGCGTATCATCAGGCATCAGTGGAAGCTAGCAGTGTGGCCTTAGTTGTGGTCCACTGATCTGTGTGTCTGCTGCTACACAGTCCAGACTGCTCTGATCACTGTACCTTGGAATTGGGCAAGTGTGGTTTCTTTTTCAAGATTGCTTTGGCTATTTGAGGCCCTTTGTCATTACATATAAATTTGAAGATTGGCTTTTCCATTTCTGCAAAGAAGGCTGTTGGAATTTAGATGGGAATTGCCATTGAATTTATTGATTATTGCTTTGAGTAGTGTTGACATCTTGACCAATATTGTCTTCCGGTCCACAAACACAGAATAGCCTTCTATTTGTTCAGGTCTTCCTTAGCTTCTTTTAGTAATGTATTATAGTTTCCTATGTACAAGTTTTTCATCTTCTCAGTTAAACTTACTCCTAGGATGATTTTTTAAGAAGAAGAAAGACAATGGAATAAAAATAGTCAAATTTGGGGATTTCTTTATTCCTAGGTACTTTTTCAATTTCAGTGCTGTTGTAAATTGCAGTGATTTACATTTACCTTCCTACTCAGATTGTTCGTTGCTTATCTTGAGGCTCAAATCTGAATATTAACAGTTGTACCACTCTACACAACTTGAACGTTCCAGCATTGTCCACGTGATTCTCTCTGTCTGCCTTCTGTGTCTTTTCTGGGTTTTGGTTGATCAGCTAAGCAGTTTTCTATTCCAGGGTGCCCAGCCGAACCCAGCACTGACTGACTGGACTTTGGCCGGGCTGTATAGAACAGAGCTGAGAAGCTGCAGTGAGTCTTCCTGTTTCCCAGCTAAGTTGTGCTCCTGGCCTGCTCATCAAAACCAAACCAAACCTATTGACTTCAAGTCACCTCCAGCTCATAGTGACCCTGTAAGGCCTAGAACTTCCCCATAGGGTTTACAAGACTGTAAGTCTTTACAGAAGCAGACTGCCACATCTTTCTCACAAGGAGCAAAGGGGCTTCAAACCACCCACCTTTTAGTTAGCCGCCAAGTGCTTAAGCACTGCTCCACCAGGACCTTCTCCTTTTCTGATAGGAGAACAAAAAGCACTGTATTTGTGGTTTCGTTTGAAGACCTGGTCAGATGAAAAAGTGCACAGAACAAATATGTTCCTCACATAGTTCACATCTGGCGTAAAACCAACATATGTCTTCAGAAGATGCTGTGAATTGTAAGATGCATAATTGATTTAAAACAGCTCTTGACCAAATTGGAAAACAGTCCACGTTAAATGTGACCCATGGTTCTCCTGACTTGCTTTTGCAGTCTCGCATCCCGGTGACACTGATTTTCTAGCCCCATGCTTCTGACGCTGGCTTGTTAGTTACCTTAAAAATGGACGGTATCAATTTAGGACCAGACCTTGACAGCACGTGCTGCTGCACAACCCTAACCCTGTGGGTCCTTTTCTCATAACTGAATCACATGCCCCTGGCAGCAACACAAGGAGGCCTGGTGGCACCGTGGCTTCAGCATTGGGCTGCTAACTGAAGGGTTGGCAGCTCAAACCCACCAGGTGCTTCCTGGACGAGGGCCCAGGTAGTCTATGTCCGTAAAGATTTCCAGCCTGGGAAGCTCTGCGGTGGAGTTCTGCTCTGTCCTGTTGAGTCACAAGGAGTTGGAATCTCCTCACTGTTGCCTGCCTCGTGTTTATGTTGAGAGTTGTAGGTGGTCCCTTCTGAAGCAGCTCTACCCAGTGCTTAACCCACAGTGCCACCAGGGCTCATGGGGACTGCTCTGTGCGATCTTTAAGGCTGTGACCTTTTGAAAGCACAGCTCCAGGCTTGTCTTCTCTTGTTTCTTGGGAGGTTCAAACTGTTAGCCTTTCAGCTAATAGTCACCTGTTTGAATATTTGTGCCACCAAGGGACTCTGGCCCTGCCAAAACCCACCACAGTCCCAAAGCATCTCAGTGGCCCCAGTGTCCTCAGAACAGAGCCCTAGCTCCACATTCCTGGCCCTCCTGCTCTGGCTTCTCAGCCTCTTCCCGTCAACTGCTCCAGGCACATTCCTTGTCTTCCCTCCACCTGGAGTGCACGTCCTTCCCCAGTTGTCCTCGGGCTGGCTGCCCCCACAGGCTGCCCCAGCTCTGCAGACCAGAACTCCCGCCGCCGTCTCACAGGCCAGTCCTGGGGAACCTGCTGGAGAGCGTGCTGCCTTCCTTGTTGCATGTCTACAGGCTACCCTTATCCTTGGCATATGGGTGGGCCTCCATCTGCAAAGCTGTCAGCGAAGCATCTCTGACTTGCTGCTTCCCTCCTCAGTCCCATGGCTTTCTCCAGCCATCGCTGGGAGACACTCTACGCTTTCTTCTTCCTTACCAGTTCAACACTTTCTGCCTGTTGGTCTTCATGGGGCATGTCCATTCTTGCTGTCCTCTCCAAATTGTCCCACTACCCTCAGAAACTCAACTCCCTTTCCCTTCTCCGTCCTACCCCAAGTCACCACTTACAGTGTTTGCTTTCTGTGTTGTTGTTAACTGCCATGGAGTCGCTTCCAACTCAGTGGAACAGAAGGAACACTGCCTGGTCCTGCGCCAAACTCAGGGTCATTGCTACCCTGGAGCCCACTGCTGCTGACACTGTGTCGGTTCATCTCGCTGGGGGTCTTCCTCTTTTTCTCTGACCCTTCACTGTACCAAACACGATATCCTTCTCCAAGGACTGGTCTCTCCTGACAGTGCATCCAAAGTATGAGAGACCAAGTCTTGGCATCCTCGCTTCAAGGGAGCATTGTAGCTGCACTACTTCCAAGACAGATTTGTTAGTTCTTCTGGCAGTCATTGGCACTTTCAGTATTCACCAGCACCATAATTCAGATGCATCGATTATTGTAGAGCCGTCTTTATTGTCCAACTTACACATGCAAATGAGGCCACTGAAAATGCCTTGTCTTGGGCAGGTGTGTCTGAGTCCTTGAACTGACACTTTGCTCTTGAACACTTTTAAAGAAGTCTTTAGCTGTTGATTTCTGTGTATTTGCTTATCTTATGTAAGCGAGATTATGCTGTTTCTGTCCTGTTGGAACTGACTGACTTCACTCAGCACGCTGGTTTCAGCTCCTAAGTGTGTGACTTACTACTTCAGGACTGCAGCGTCTTGCTGTCCACCATCTGGGGTTGGACAGTGGGGCTGTCTCCACCGTCTGGCTCTGGTGTGGAGGGATGACCACAGGTGCGCAGTCTCCCGGGGGTGTTCTGCTTTCACTTCTGAGTGGCGCCTAGGAGAGTGGGGTCTGGGTAGCTTTTTTTTTTTTTCCTCAGGATTTGTAAAGCTTTTTATTGAAGTGTAGAACATACATGCAGAAAGGTGCATGTATGTTAAGTACAGAGCTTGATGAGATTTTACAAAGTGATCGTGTGTACTATGTGTGGAACCTTAACCTGGCTGGAACATTACACGTCAAACTGCACAGCGACCTTGTGACTCTTTGGCTGCCATGCATGTGCCTTTCTTTTGTTTTTTTCTTTGATTTCTTCAATCTTTCAAAAATAATTTTCTTTTTTAAAGTTTTATTGTGAATTATGTGATAGTTTACAGGGGAGAACATTACTTGTACATTCATCCTATCATATATCGCTTCATTGCCATGGTTACAGTCCCCTTCATGCATCATCAACCAACCAAAGGGTATACACTACAAGCCTGCCCCCTGGTCATCAGCACACAGCCCCTCTCCCTCGTTCCGTCTCTCCACATCATCATCTCTGCCTCCATCTCTGGTGTCACTGTTTCTCTGGGTAGGGTCCTGCTCTCCGCTCTTCTCCTAGACTGCAAAGTCAATCACTCCCCTCCTTTTGCTACAAAACGTGTACCTTTACATTTCTAACCCTCACAGTCAGTCCTGATAGCAGTAATTCACTATTGTACCATAAGAGACCCATGTGCATTTCCTTTCATCAGTCCCACCCAGACAGATTGGATACTAAGTGGAGATTCTACCTTCCTCCGTGCCCTCTGGATCTAGGCTCTGTCCTGAAAGCTTGTAAGCCAGTCACTTCTTGCCTTTGTAGCCCCCCATTTTGGGTAGCCAATGTCAAGTTGCCCATCCCTGTCTACTCTGTGTATTAATCTCTGGGTAGCTTTATGAGGAGCCACCAAACTCTGCACAGTGCTTGTTTTGTGTTATATTCCCACCAGCAATGGAGAAGGCTGCCAGTTTTTCCACAACCTTGTCAATAGCTGTTGCTTCTACTTATGTATTTATTTTTAATCATTGCCATTCTTATGGGGGTGAGGTGGTATCTCATTGTGATCTTGATTTTCATCTTTATGGAGCCCACAAACCCTGGTGTTTCGCTGTGGGTTAACACATTGGACTGCAAGGTCAGTTTGAACCACAAGGTTGACGGTTCAAGCTCACCAGCCGCTCCTTGGAAGCCCTATACAGTGTCATTATGAGTCGAAACCAACTGAACAGCCCTTAACAACAGCAACAGAGACTTGGTGTGGCACTGTAGCATAAGCACTAGACTGCTGACCATAAGGCGAGCAGTTTAAACTCACCAGCTGCTTCTCAGAAACCCCAGACAGGGGCACTGTAAGTCAGAACCAACTCGATGGCACTTAAAAACAGTGGCTAAGGAGCCCTGGTGGTGTAGTGTGCTGCAAACTGCAAGTCAGCAGTTCAAATCCACCAACCATTCCATGGGAGAAAGATGGGGCTTTCTGCTCCCTTACAGAATTATAGCATTGGAAGGCCCCTAAAGGGTGATTGTGAGTAGGAACCAACTTGATGGCATGTAAGCACCGCCACCAATGACTATTGAAAGGAACCCAGGTGGGCCTACATGCTTAGAGGCCACATCAGTGTCCTCTTTCGTGAGATGTTTGTTCAAGTCCTCTACTTATTTTTTGATCGAGTTATTTGTGTTTCTGTTAAGTTGTAAACGTAGGGTTTCCACGCATAAGGGCAGTGGGATTTCCTCACACCCACCTGGGTCGTCCAGGAGGCTGTCCTACCTCAAGATCCGAAATTTTGTCTCTTCTACAGAGTCCCTATTTGCCACATCAGGAGCCAGATTCACAGGCTTCAGGGATCAGGGCATGGACGGGCGCAGGGGGGCAGTGTTCTACCAGGCAGGCCCCAGGACTCTCCTGCACCTCTCTGCTTCACTTCATGACTTCTCTGTTCAGACGTTGCCAGCAAAACACACCGCCCATGTCCCCACAGCTGCTTGCCTGCCTCCTTCACCTCCCACTGCTCCCCACTGGGGGATCACCACTCACTAATTTGTCTATATGATTCCCCTTACCCCAACCAAGCTGAGCTCGTCCGCCTCTGTGTGCCCAGTGCTAAAAATTGATGTAGGCCAGTTCCCAAAATGTCAAGGAAACTCATGTCCCGACCTTCTCACTCCTCCGTGGTCCTGACAACAGCCATTCTATTTCAGAGCCTCATCACCCAGAGTTGGGTCTCCACAAGTTAGAGGACTCTGTCCTCTGCTGCCCCCGGGGGGCTTGTTAAGTCTTCAGTTGTGTTAAGTGCCATTGAGTCAGTTCTAACTATATAGGATTTCCAAGGAGCAGTGGCGGGTTTGACCTGTCAGTCTTGAGTTCAAAGTCCAGTGCTGATCCTACAGTGTCACAACTCACAAAATTCAGACTATTAATCACCTGCACTCATAGTTGCCGTGTGTTGTCACCAGAGGGATACAAGTGAAGAGAAGGATCGGGGGCATCCCTGAGGCTTCCAGTGTCCCCAGAGTCATGCCACATCCTCTCCTTGTGGAAGCTGCCTTCTGGGCTTTCATTGGCTCTTTGACAGTCATTGGTTGGGTGGCGTGGGGTGGTGGGCCTCATGACAAGCCAGTGATTGCATCCCTGAGTATGCATAGCTGGCCCCTCCCTGAGGTTTGTTCCTATGCTGAGCAGTCTGAGGTTTTGTTTAAGCCCTAAGGGATTTTGTCTAAGCCCTCGAGAAAGTCGGGGGAGATGGGAAGTGAGTTTCCAGGTCCACAGGGACTGGTCACAGAAGCTCTGAATGCTGGGCTCCAGCATCCCTGGGGGCATGGCTGTGTCCTCACCTGGAGTGGGCTGAAGAGGTGAGGCTGCAGGTCTGACCCCACTCCTACAGTGGTGTGCAAGGTGGAGTCAGGACACGGGGCCCACTCAGGAGTGAGTAGCAGCAGGGTCTATTACAAGGCCTCTGTCCTCTGTACAGTCATTCTACTTCTCCATGTGGACCCGGGTGAAGGAAGGAAGGCGATACAGAAAGGAGAGTGGGATGGGGGAATACATGGTTGGAAAGGGTAGAAGAGCAGGTGAATAAGTATAAGAATGGTTGGAGGGGGCTGAGTGTATAGTAGGTGAAAATACATTGGTGAGTCTGAAAAAAATGAACCGTCGAAGGGAACCAGTGTGGGTGCGTGATTGGTTGAAAGTATGGATGGATGGTTGGAAGGTGTTGGGTGGGCAGGAGGAGGTGCTGATGGATGGAAGGAAGCGATGGGTGGGTGGGTGGATGAGTGGAAGGCAGGGGGTGATGAGAGGTTGGAAAGGGACCAATGGATTCTGGTTTAAGAGAACTAATGGGTGAATAGTTAGTTGGTTGCAAGGGGACAGGTGGGTAGCAGATGGATATGAGGAAGGTAAGAATGGAGGATGGATGAGTGGCTGGAAGGAAGGGGTGGATGGAAAGAAAGAAGGGACTGGTGAATGGCCACTTGCTTGAAGGAGAACAGGTGGATGGCTGGAAGGAGATGGATGGATATTTGTAAGAGGACAGGTAGCTGGTTGCAGAAGGGGTGGTTGGGAGGTTGGTTGGAAGGGGACAAAGGAACAGATGGATGGTTGGTTGGGTTGGATGGATGGTTGGGTGAGTGGATAGGTGGATGGTTGGTTGGGTTGGATGGATGGTTGGTTGGGTGAGTGGATAGGTGGTTGGTTGATTGGGTTGTTGGGTGGTTGGTTGGGTGAGTGGATAGGTGGATGGTTGATTGGGTTGTTGGGTGGTTGGTTGCTTGCTTGCTTGCTTAGGGAAAGTGCTGATTGATACTCAGCCATCATCTCAGAAACCCTCTTGTGACTCTAGGAAGGCAACAGCCCCCAAGGGAACAACCAGGGGGTGAAGATCACAGCCGAGCAGCAGAAGAGGAGCAGCTTCTTCCGATGTGTCCTTCTGTGAGGGACTCCGCCTTACCTGAGCCGTGCTCAGCCCATCTGACTGTGCCTGTTCCCAGTAAACCTCTTGCTCGGCTGGGGCCTCCCCCTCCCATGCCCACCCTCTCTGAGGCCATGGGCCCACGGCCCCCAGAACGCAATCGAGAAATTGTTTATTTTAGTAACTGCCTGGTCTCTCTCAACTCTGGAGATGAAGTACATTAAGAGTTTGCTATTTTTCCTGTGATGATCGCGGAGCAGGCCCATGTTACCGGGAAGGACGGGACCTCAGCGTGACCTGTGCCCTCGGTCCTGCTACTGCAGCACAGCTGGAGGCCCCCAGACAGCAAGGGTCGCAGCGTGGACTCCAGGTGCCTTACACCTCTGCCCGAGCCCAGCAACAGCACTGCGGGCCCGGGACACAGCAGCCCCAGCTCCTGCTGACCTCTGCTCGGTTCAGGACAAGTGGCAAGACCCTCCCCACCGCCGCCGCCTCTTTCCTACTGTCAGACCAAAAGGGAGCCAGGGCCACAGGGTGACCGCGGGAAGAAGCGAAGCTGAATCTCCTGCTCATGGCCCCAACGAGACCTAGGGGCACCGCCATGGTCCCTGCCAAGGTGGGCTCTTTACAGCAGTCTCTGCCAGCCTTGGTGACCCTGAAAATAGCAATGCCCACCCACGTGGCACACCTGTCATCACCAAAACGACCCTATCCCTCTTCATCCTCTGCCATCTCCAGTTGGACGGCTTTCCTCACAGAGATTTCTGCTCCTGCGGATCGCCGTGCCACGAAGAGATTTGGTTTGTGATCCCAGTGGCACAGCCAGAGGACCTGGGACTGAATGCAGGCCGCACCATCTGGGTGGAGACACATTCCATATGGCCAGACTGCCGCTCGGTACCTCCAAGTGGACCTCGTTGGCGGTCCGTGCTGGCAGGACCAGCTGGCCAGTCAGGCATCTCCAAGACGCCTTTCCTCTCTTCTGTTTTTGCCCCTTCCCTCCGTCTGCTGTCAGTCCAAGCCATTGACATCCTAGTTCCTTTGTTTTGTTTATGAATGAAAACAAACAAACCAGCAATAGTCTGCTCCCTGAATCGCTAACATGCCCTGTTTACATCCATAATGCACTTCAGGAAAACAAACCGACGAATTAAAGCTCATTTTAAAATTCATGGCTCTTTCTGTACTGTCTTTGCTTCTAAGGATATGGTGTCAGGGGCAGGGAGGTAGTCATTCAAAGGATGTCCTTTCAGAAAACACAGGCCAAATTGGACCCTCATCCATTGCTGGTGGGATTGCAATACAGCGCAGCCGCTGTGAAAAAGGATTTCTGGTTCAGCAAGTTAACCACAGATACCCCATGACCCAGCAAGTCCACTCCTAAGTTTATGGCCAGAAACAGTGGGAGCGCGAACAGGCACTCACACACAACATTCATTGTAGAATTATTCACAAGAGCCCAGGTGCCCATCAACACAGTAGCAATTACTCAGTGTGGTCTGTCCACACAGTAGAAGACGACTCACCATAAAGAGAAAAGATGTCCCGATGCCCTTTAACATGGATGAACCATAAGGCAAGTCATCACCATGGGCAAATCTTAAATGGTGGTCTACCAGACCAGTTCCAGTAATGTTTGAGTGATGTGATGAACGTATTTAACGTGAATGTTGCTACAATGGCACATTCTCTAGAAGTTTAATGTGGTGGTGTGCTGCAGTCGGGTCCCACTCCAGGATCCTGTATAGGGCTTCCGAGGCTGGAAATCTATGGGAACAGAAAGCCTCAGCTTTCTCCCACAGAACAGCTGGTAGTTTCAAACTACTGACCTTGAGGTTAGCAGCCCAACTCGTAACCAGAGCTCCTTAGAAAATCCCAAACCACACAACCCAGGTTGGGGTGGGGGGTTCAAGTTAGATTAGGGACTTGAGGGCCTTTCCCATCTGCTCCTTCAGCCATAGCCCCCCCTTGTCTACTGGCCTTTATAGAAACACGCTCCCTCCACTTCCACCACAGAGATTACACTTAGCCAGCCCCTATGGCCTCAGCCACCTAGTGAGTGCTCCCTCTGAGCTGTCCTAGGAGCAGAGTCACCAGGCAGTCCCCCTACCTCCAAGAACCTCACTGCCCCGGCTCCTGTCACCACCCTGCTGGCTCTCCACAGGGCTCTTCCACTCGTTCAAGGTCCCCAAGACCACGTTCAAGTTCAGTGATTCACTGGGAAGACTCAAAGACTCCACATGGAGTAGTACTTAACAGCTAATATATATCACAGCAAAAAGACATAAAATGAAAGGTCCTTAGATGGCAGTTTGCACTCTGCTAGTAACCAGACGGTTGACAGTTCAAACCCAGCCAGTGGTGCTGTGGAAGAAAGGCCTGGCAATCTGCTTCCATAGAAATTAACAGCCAAGAAAACCCTATGGAACAGTTCTGCTCTGTAACACATGGGTTCTCAAGTCACAAATCAAAACCAAACAACAATGAAAGGGCAAGATGAGCAAACCGAGAAGGCAGAGCCCAGGGAAATCCGGCACAAGTACCCTGAGCCCTCTCCCAGTGGACTCACAAAAGCAGACTGCTCACCATCGAGTCAGCTCCAGCTCATGGCGACCCCACGTGTGTCAGATGACAACTGCTCTAAAGGGTACTCAATGGCTGATAGTAAATCAGTAGGCCTTCGAAGGCCCCTTTCAATTCCCACAGCCATCAAGGGATTCCAACTCATAGCAACCCTGTATAGGGGTTCTGAGTCCAAATCTTTTCAGGAGCAGAAAGCTTCATCTTTCTACGGCAGGGTGGCTACTGGTCTTGAACTATAGACTTTGTGGTTAGCAGTCACTCCACTGCTTATCCTACAACACCACCAGGGTTCCTTATAAAATATAAAGACGTATCTAAAATACAGGTGTATCTATTTACATGGTAAAAAAATTATAAGGGAAATCCAACAAAGTGTGAGCAATGCTGAACCTCAAGAAAGTCCCATGCCAGAAAACTTCTGTCTTCTATGCTCCAGCGTTTCCTAGTACTTGAATCAGTTCCGACTCATAGCAGCCCTGTGTAGGGTTTCGAGGCTGTAAATTTTCACGGGTGTGACACGGTAGGGTAAGCATCAGCCATTCCTTGGGAACCTTATACAGACTCACTATGAGTCAGAATCAACAGCACTTAACAACAACAAATCTTTTTTTTTTTAGGTTTTTATTGTGAATTGAGTGAAAGTTTACAGGGCAGATCATCAGTTTTACATTCAACAAATGGTATACCTTGTTTCATTACAGTGATTATAATCCCCTCCATGTACTATCAGTTAACAGTATTTCTCTCTATTCACTTTAGCTTTTAAAAAAAAACAAAAAAAAAAACTCTCAGGCATATATAATAATTTACATCTCCAAAGGGCACATTCTGCAAGTCTGCCTCCTGGCCACCAGCTCTTAGTCCCTCTCTTCCCATGAATCTAGAGTCTCAGCCGCTTCCCCTCTCCATGACCCCATCTCTGCCTCCATCTCTGGTGTCGCTGCTTCTCTGGATAAGGTCCCGCATTCTGCTTGTGCACTTCTCCCTTGATGGTCCTAGAGTCCTCTGTTTCTGGACTGTAAGATTAACCACTCCCCTGTTTTTGTTACAAAACTTCTACCTTTACAATTGTGACAGTCGTAATTAGTCATGATAACAATTATTCACTATTGAATCATACAATCTTATCCCCCATCTCTTTTCATCAGACCCTGAGTACAGTGGGGACTCTTTCTTTCCCCCCCATACTCTTAAACTAAACTCCCTCTTGAAACCTTGTAAGCCAGTCACTTTGTGCCTTTATTGCCCCCTCATTTTAGGTAGCCAATGTCTAAGTTGCCTGTCCCTATCTACCCTGTGTACAGAGGGGATACCATTGATACTTGATGTGAAGACTGCTTCCCTCTTTGTTGGTATTTATAGTAACTACCACTCTGAGTATAAGGAGCTCTGGTAGTGTAGTGGTTACGAATCGGGCTGTGAACCGCAAGGTCAGCAGTTCGAAACTACCAGTGGTTCCGCGGGAGAAAGAGGAGGCGTTCTGCTCCCATAAAGATTTACAGCCTCGGAAACCCTGTGCAGGGTCGCTATGAGTTGGAACCGACTCCACGGCACTTAACAACAACAACCGCTCTGAGTATAGGTTCATCAAATTGTAGCAATTTACCCTTGTTTCCTTATCGAAAAAAATTTTCTTTTTTTTTGTAGTCTTCCTCTAGTCGATTATCAAGCCATCAAGGATAGGTCAGATGGGTACTGTCTGCAAGTTTGGGTGTTCTTGTGCATCTCCCCTCACGTCATATCAGCTGGATGCTTCACTCTCAGTTCTAACCCCTCTGTAGCTATGTCCTTGTCCATGGGCTCAAGTGTTCTCAGGTCTCACCACACTTTAGACCAACCAGCCCTTCCTCTTCTCTCTCTCATCTCCAGATCAATGGGAGTCAGTGGACTGTGGTTGAAATCAGCCCATTTCTTCATTGCTGCCTTTCCCCCTCTTCCACTCACCAGTAAACCAATGTGGTCGCCAGCAAGTTTACATGTTTGTTTGTGTGTTCCCTTTGAGTTTGTCTTAGAGAGGAGTTTGTCCAGAAGGAACTTGATTGCTAGCCTTGATGTCTTCCTGGCAAACAGCTTGCTTATTCTTGTAGTAGCCAGTCATGCTGACATTTTTATTTTGTTTTTTTCCTGGTGATCTTTCTTTGAAGATGTATCTTCTGTTGCTCTAGCTGTTCCAGGCTGGTCTGTTTGTGCTTTCTAGTGGGAATGTCCCACCTCATAAGGTTCTGGATGGTACTCAGGATTCCACCTAAGGTCCTATACTCTGTGAAGGCTTTGCATGAGGCCTATTTCACTGGGCAAGTTGTAGAACCCCTTTTAGGTGTTCCAATCAGTTATAGGCTGAAGACGGGCTTACAAGTTTTCTCTAGTCATGTGTCCCAACATTCCTTTCTATCCCACTCAAGTGTCTACTTTACAATAGTAGGTAAGGGAAACCAATATTCATAAGACAGTCAAGCTTATTTTAGTATCATTTCCCCTCTTAAAGCTATACCTAGATTCCTGTATCACAGAGCCCTGTTATTTTAAGGTTGAGCATACATCTCTATTCACCTCTGTTCCACTTAGGCCATGCAAACCTGTCTCAGTGTTCCCCTATCTATCTTGTTCTTCCACCTCCTCCCCCTTCTTGTATTGTCCTCCTAACACCCGAACTAAACCCCCCACCCCAACCCCATTGTTGTG